AAGCTTAGTTTTTTTTTTTATAGAAACTAAACTCTCTTCTTTGCTATTTATTTTTGGAATGTATTGCTTACAAGTGTCAGCTTTGTGGCTAAGTTGATGCGAACGCTTCGGGATGCCGGGTTCGATCCCAGCTGCGGACCATGTGCCGTTCGTTGGTTTCGACAGTGGTATAAAGAAAAGCCTACTGTCCGGAAAGCAATGGCAAACCTACTGGACATAAATTTCCCTAGAAAAACCACACAACAGCCAGGGGCTGTTGGGGTTGGTTCTGCAGCGTCCTGTAAAGGATACGCAACCTATTGCTTACAAGTAAAACCCAGAATGGATAGATCTTGTGTGAATGTGCACTGTAGTCAAGAAGAATCTAACTCCAGACCATCAGCTACGAACACATGATTTGTTTGTTTGTTTTAGTATCCAGAAGCCATGAGTTGTTAACCCTTAGGCTCGGTATTATGGATATCGCAACCTTTTGGCCTTGATTCCATTATAAATACCGTAAATCTTGGAGAAATGTGGCTTTCCTGCCTACCCCCGGGATTGAACCCGGACTACAAGAAGTTCGTCACCCAGTCTCTGGGCAATCCGGTTTAGCCAACTACCCTAGAGAGCCACGAACACATGAATCAGAATTGCTCATTTCATGTACACCTCTAAATATGTATATTGTTTCCCCATTAATCATCTTGATATTTATTAATTTATTTCAGATTCTACGGAAATGTATTTTTTATCTAATTTCAGATATTTTTGTAAAGTATACTTTTCTTGAAGTGTGAATTAAATGTATATGTTTTAAAATTCATGCATTGGAAGTTTAATAAATTTTTTTTTATATTACTGAATTGTTAAAGCTTGCTTAGCATTAAACTAATATTCAATTTGTGTGTTTCTCTCATTACAGATTATTGCAAAAGTAGTGTAAAATGTGTTTTAAAAATATGATCTCATAATGTAATATATGCTTTTTTTATGTCATGTTCCCATTGCATTTGTTTCTGACTGACTATTATTTTCTCTTGTGTGTTTTTGGATAATTAGCTAGTGTTTTTTTTCAGTTGCTTCCCCTTGTTTTGCATTTTTTTTTACAACTGCATATGAAACAAAATGTCTTTTCATAATTAATTTTTGTTTATTTATTCCAAAGGTATATTATGATTTAATAGGACAATTGTCTCATTTCCTAAATGCCACTTAAAAATGTATTTCAGATAGACACAGGTGGAAGATTTGTTGTTGTTTCATTTTACATATAATTATGTCAGTATTAACATCTTTTTCTTTTCAGGCAACCAAACTTGCTCATTCCAACTTTGCCATGTATTAACTAACTTAACTTATAAGCTTAGATAATATTTCAAAAAGATGATTTAATTAATTTTATTAATGATTTAAGAAAAGTATCACAGACTTATACTATCTTAGGGTGGGAAAGAGGTTGATTCTGGAGGATTAGTTGGGGGAGGGGGGGGGGGGGGGGGGGGGGGAGAGTTTCTTAAAAAAGAAATTAAATGCGCTTAATATTTTGACGGACTCAACATGACAAATGAGTGATGGTTGGGAGAAGTTTAAAATAAAGGCACATCTAGTACAAGTGTTGGGCTTGGTTGTTGAAAGTTCAGGAACACCTATGAACATAAGAAATTGCACATAATTCAATTTATATTACACAGGAGTACTATAAATATTGGAGTAATAACAGCGTCATAACCAGTGGCACGTCGTGGTTTGGAACTGCAACTTCTTAAGCACATGCGTGCAACAGCCAAACAGTCTGTTCAACTGGTGGTGCACATGCGCACGTCTGAGATAAGAAGCTACAGTTTTACATTGTTCACCTACGAAACACCACTGGCAATTGTTAACAGTAATATACAATCATCCTCGCCGGCACAGCACTGCAGGCTACATCAGGCTGGTGTAATCATTTTGGGTGTCCCAGTTATAACTTCTCAGGAGGTTGAACAGGTTATCTGATACTTGTCCTGTTGGCTTGACATCCAGACAGAGATTTTGTAATCTCAGGGTTGTTTAAATCTTCAGTTAGCCTGGAGGGGAAGAAAAATGGAAGGAAACAGTGGCTAAACATACGACTTACCTGTTCATTAAAATCGTACCACGGCTGCTTTTAAAAACTGACCTGAACTTCACATACTGACCCAGGCTATAAATGGGTACCAGAAATATTCTGGAAAGTACCTGTATCCGGTGTGATGCTGACGGCATCACTCATTAAGCGCTGATGGTGTTTTTTTTAAAAATAATTTTTGACTAGCTCAGGGGCATAGAATTAAAGGCAGACCAACCACACACACACACACACAAAAACAAGGGGAGAACTAGAGAAGTTAAAAAGATCAGAATTTGTCCTCGTGTAGGTTCTGGGGGAAGACAAGGGTAGAGCAGCTGCCTGCCTAACAACCCATTTTGTTTATGTTGATTCAATGAATCAACATTATTGCATCTGGGTGTAATCCATAAGTGCTGAGCGCAGAATCTCAGAATAAGAATCTCAGCGCAGTGTACAAACTTTGTTGCACCGGCGGGGATCCTGAAATACTTTGGGTAGATTTTAAACTCCAAAATTTAGACTATTCTTTTAAAATTTTTTTAGCTGCGCAAGAATGCACACGGGCGTCCGATCTTACTACCCAGTGACCAGGGTTAAATACTAAAAGTCAGCGTGACATAAATCCCAGCCTTTACCGGGGTTTGAATCCTGACCTCTTGCACTCAAGGCGGACACCATGCCTCGAGACAACTGTCTCCTTAACAAGCATGTTGTATGAGGCAGCTGATTAGGTCTGTTTCCTTTAAAGTCTGAGTGCAACTGCCTGAGAAGCGGGAAACCAACAGTCTGCATACAAAGAAGCTGAATCCATAAAACAGACAAGCGCATAAAAGTTCTGCAACAAGAACAGTGTCTAGAAATGCATGAACAGCCGGAACTATCTGCCAGAGTTCAGAGCCAATGAACGCTAAGAAGGAAAGGACATGGAGTGAGCTAAGTGTAACAGCAAAAGATAGGATGATTTGGCCTCAGTTGGATGTGGGCCTATGCTCCATTGGGGGATAAAAAGCAAAAGAAGAGCTTGAGCTTTTCCTAAACATCTGGTTTATTTGTATGCAGACTATTGGTTCTTTGTCACTCAGGCAGATGCACTCCAACCTCATAGGAAACAACTCTAATTGCCCCCTGCAACATTGAGGGGGGGGGGGGGGGGTGGGTGGGTAGTGTATCTGTTCTAGTTTCTTCCTGCATGTGGCTCTGAAAGTCACATGGGGGAGTTCATAGTTCAAAAGTGCCATCATTCACATCCAGAGCCCTTTAAGCATCTGAACATGCTCAGAACCTTACTGGCCAGTGATATATAAATATATATCCTGCCAATACTGGGATTTGAACTCAGACATCTAACTTGTTCGGCCAACATACAAGCACAGTGCAGTATTACCACAGCTTCATATAAACATCAAAGATTTTAAACGACTGGCTCAGAGGTTAGACAGTGGAGATTGCACTAAAGTTCCCCTAGACCTCATATAACTACTGATCTGTAGCAGCTGCTGCTTCCATCGACAATGAACTGCAATTCTAGTGTTGGACTGTTTGTGTTGGCACTTCTGACAGCTGCCCCGTGCATTTAATGCAGGAATATGCTGTTTAATTTACTAAGCCTGCAGTCTACATGCCAGTTTTTTCACAAAGTGATTGACATTTTGTGTGGTGTTTACTGGTGCACCTCTTCTTTTTCTTGTTCACTAGCTATAAACTCCGGAGGAAAGTTTGATTGTTCATCCACCTCTGGACTTCAGTCGTATTCCAGAACCTGAGTGTTGCTTGCACATTCATTTCACAGACCTGGATTATTTGTGTGCAGATTGTTCTTTGCCTCTCAGACAGATGCACTCTGACTTCAAAGGAAGCCTTTCCAATAACTAAGCTCTTTTGATATGCTTGTTGAAGAAGCAGTGGGCCTATCCTTGTTTTTCCCCACAATCAGGCCCTGGAACCCACATAGGAAGTTGGCACTCCACTATGACGGTGACCCATTTGCTATTCAGGACATTTCCTAGTGCCTGCTATGGACCAGGACTACCTGAGAGCCTGGGCCAGTTTTCAAAACATGCTTGCCTCACAAAAGGATTCAAACACAGATCAACAGGCAAGCAACCACTGTGGCTACTGAGACTATGCTGAAATTAGTCAGTGCACCCATTGTCTTCTGGACACAAAGATGCACAGGCGATTTTGATTAATCCATTCTAGTGATATGAGAAATCTGCTTCTAAAATTTTGAGGAATACAGTTAAGGTTATGAGGGATACACCCTGGAGATTGTGAGGAATACACCCTGAAGAATATGAGAAATGTAGTTAAGATTATGAGGGATACGCTATGGGGATAATGGGGGATGCATATTAGAGATCATGAAGAATCCACTCTGGAGATCTTGAGGAATACATACAAGAGATTATGAAGAATTCACTCCAGAGATTTTGAGGAATCTGCTCTGAAAATTTTCTAGAATTAATGAGGGTATGTGGTGACTTAGTTGTCAGATCAGTCGTTGAATTAAGAATAGCATATAGGAATCAAGACTATTAAAAGAAGGAATCTTAGTATTCTCTACAACGCCACTGTTCAGGGTAAACTGAATGCCTCACCCTGATCCTTAAAGTCGCCTTTTATGACACCTTTTTTAGGAAGGCAGCAGCCCCCTCGCCGCTGCCCCGCTCCCTCTTTCCCGAAAAGTAAAAGTAAAGTATAGATGGTAAATTACTGAATAATGTTAAGAGCCTACCACTTTGCCAGTTGTGTATGAAATATATTGTGCAGTGTCATTTTTGTTGATTAATTTGCAGCCATGTTAACCAATTTTTTCTGTTTTCTTCAGTATAGATTTTGGGAGTGCTTGGTGAATAAAGATAAACCAACTGAAGAGGATACTTTGTGAAGGTATTTGTTTGAGATCTGGAGGCATGTTTCAAGTATAGCCATGGTGAGTGTTTTTGTCAATGATCACGGCCCGTTGTTCTTGTGCTTTATGTTCAGCATAACTGTAACACTGTCCCATTGGATGTGATACACTTGAGAAAACCTCATAGCAGTATGACTAAAATGTCTTTGCCTGGGAACCCACAGCACCAAAGGAATATAGGCTGACCAAAAAGCACACAGAGAAGATTATTAGAGTTTTTTTTGGGTAACAAATGTAGAGGATATGGGGTGAGCTGCATGTGGTAGCAAAGGATGGGACAACTGAATCTGAAAATCTCACGAAAGCCACTGGGAAGACTAAGCCTCAAAACAAAGCCCGAAGAAGCTGGATGTGTCAGCCGAAAGGCACAAATATTGCAGCTGTGCTGTAAACTGACACAGTGCAATTACGTCACTTAGACAGTCAATAAAAATAAACAACTTGACAGAATTTGGTTGAGAGCCTGAGCTCAATTAAAAGTAAAGGGCAGAAAGAAAGAAGAGAGTATACATTGCTATATCTATATATATATGTTATCACTGATGGCTGTCTTGTGTTCATACATTCATCTGTTTTCCCACTTTTCCATCTGTTCATCAAAATCTATCTGTCTTGATAACCTTGGAAATATCTAATTGAAAGTTACTATGTAGAGGCAAGCTGAACACAGGTTCACGCATATGTGCATGTGTACATTTACAAACGCATGTCTTGCATGTTGATGGAGGGAAGCAAAACTTGTTCCAGACAATTGCTTGAAGAAAGTTAGGGATCTCCGTGGCAAAGCCGTTTGCCTTGTGCTCTTAAGGTCGTGGGTTTGTTTTACGGCTGCATCTGTTCAGTTCACGAGTGCAGTTTTTATGAAGACCCTAGGGATCGTCGTCAGATCTACGGTGCTCGTGCGTTGTGCAATGCTCTTGGCAGGTTGTTAGCTGTTCTGCAGAGAGAGGCCAAGTTATATGTGATAACACCTGGTACAGTGATGTCGATCCTCTTTCACTTTGATTTGTTAGTCAAAAGACACAGATAAATGAGTTCTGTTCTTTTCCGTTTGCTGCATTAATGCTTAGAACGATGGTTGGCATGTTGCAATGGGTTTACAGCTAGGCTGCAATATCTGCACCTTTTCGCCCAACACATCCAGTTTTTGGAGATCCTTTATCAATCACACGCCTGTTAAGGAACAGTGGTCTGTTTCTGTTTCCCAAAACTGGTGGCCAGCACTCTCACAGGATCAGACATTTTTTCTGTTGTAAACAGGTGCATCACAGCCATTTACATTTTTAGCACAAAAGAACAAGTTGTTGGTGTATAGATAGTTTAAAGATGAGAAGATCGGCTTCATTACACTGGGTTTTATCCCATGTGGCTCAGTCTGTCTCCGGTGAGTGGTCTGAGCTGACTGAGAGCATCACATGATGCACAAGATTTGTAGCTCCGGCAACCGAGATTTCCTAAACCCCTACACTCCCATACTGTACACACATGTTGTGACTGTAACAGATTCCCAAATCTTGCTGAGAAAGGGTGGAGAAAGGCATACTCTATGCAGAGTGGCTAGCGTTTCTTCAAAAGTCTCTGATGGTTAGTATTTTTAGATCTATTCTCCTGGATATGCAGGTGTGTTGGAAAATGAACAGGCAGAGAGACTGGGTAGTACTGCAGCACAGGGTAATGAATTGATGTATGGCAAGCAAGATGTGGTCAAGACCCTTTAGGAGTGATTGAAACACGTGCAGAAAGAAGTGATGAGCGAATTTGGCCCATACTCTGCAATCAGAGGAAAGGCATGATGGGCGTATGATCAGACTGCTCAGTACAATCAATCATCGGTGGAACTTGTCACTGACTCCTAAAGACGGCGACAGAGCACTTATAAACATGTCTGCAGTGCTGTAACTTTGGTTCTTAGCTCAGCTCTGCTCAACTTTTATACTGAATGACAGGGTCCGAAGCTGAACCTACAACCTTCAGAGCATGAGGCACAGGGATTAACCACTTCAACAAAGAAACTTCAAAAAACACATCATTTTGTAATGCATTAAATTAGTTTATTGACTCCTAGTAGATGTAACAAATTGATATTTATATTTCAGCCTCCAATTGATCCGCAACAGCTGTTGAAGGCCCTTGGTCCTCTTCTCACAAATTCTGGAGGCCTGAAAGGAGCACAGGAGGCTTCTCGAGTTGCGAGGTTTGTACACACTCCTTCTGATAGTCTGTGGCATTGGCAGTCATGTCTATCCACAACCTTCTGACTCGTGTACTACTTTCAGTCAGTTCTGACAGAGGTGGTCTTCCATGCTGTGATGTAAAACTGTCTGACATCATCTGTATCTCCCGTTGCTTTTCTTTCCCACCATGAAATTATATTCCATTTTATCTCTCATGACATGACCAAAGAATGTAGATTTTCTCCTTCTGATGCGGGCAAACATCTCTCTTCAGGAAACATTTTCTGTCAAGACAGCTTCACAAGTCTTTGTAATCTCTCCAGGGTGTTCTCATCAGTCATCTATAAAGCCACATTATGCCTGGCTGCATACTAGTCACTGTTGAATAAAATGAAGCAAATAGAGGAATCCTTAACAGCTGAAATACAAAATCAGCCACTCTGAAAATTATCTACCTGGCAGTAATGGTTAAATCCATTATTTTGGGTTTTTTGGGGGGTTTTCTTTGTTCAAATTTGCGATGGGGGAAAAAAATGGTTTAAAAATTTTGTGTGTGTAATAAGTTGCAAATACGGTAAAACCTCATTATTGTGAACTCACTTAAGAACCCTTTAACGTGAACAAAAATGCTGGTCCCCAGCACTTTCATGATTATTAGTCCTCAGTTGGTACAGATTTTTAAAACTACAAACTCAATTTTCTTCTCTTGGGTCAGATTTTAACTGTCTTATTTTAACCACAATAAATACTGAATGAATACATGAGGGGACCGATCATATCTTCATCATCAATGTCTGTTCCTTAAGCGTGAGAAAACAAAAATTATACATAGGATTTAATCATGACAGTTTTGTTATTTCTTTCAGTAGCTAGGCTTATATTTCTTGTATATTTGTTTACATCTGTGTTTAACAAGAAATTTATGTTTGGGTGGCATAGTCACTATATGCTTGTCTGGCGGACCGAAAGTCTATGGTTCAGATCTGCGTCGAGACAGATTGTTTTCAAATCTAGTTCGCAGGTCGACTCAGCCAGAAACTGGTACCAGGTGATGTCCTGGGAAATAAGAGTGGCCATTGCAATGTTGACCAAATCACATTTAACTCTTTGAGTCCCAGGGGGTTTAGCATCACAGGCCCAGGGGGTAGTAAAGAAAGTAATAAAATCGGCGCATCATGCGTTCTTCGGGCTTCTAATTAGGAACCTATGAACGTATGATGAGTTTCTTGGGATTCAAAGAGTTAAGTGCTGATTGATTTATAAATGTATAGGTCTAGTGCTATATGCTCTGGGAGCCGTCGAGGTACAGCCGATAGACGCTCAACTGCAGATACGAAGGTCATGGGATCAGGTCCTGGCAGAATTGGACTTTAATAAAAATGACATTCGGTCCCATTTTGACCCAACGCTTTGGTACCAGGGAAGGTCATGGGAAGTAAAGGCAGATGGCATGATGCTGGCCACATCACCCATTAATTGCTGATTGGTCTATCAAAGGTGTGGAAAAGGGTCCTTTACTAGATGAGCCGAGGATGGTGAAAGTGTGTACCTTACCTATCTAGAAACTTGTATCGTACTGAACTATACAATTTGTAATGTAAATGTGATGAGCCGAGGATGGTGAAAGTGTGTACCTTACCTATCTAGAAACTTGTATCATACTGAACTATACAATTTGTAATGTGAATGTGATGAGCCAAGGATGGTGAAAGTGTGTACCTTACCTATCTAGAAACTTGTATCATACTGAACTATACAATTTGTAATGTGAATGTGATGAGCCGAGGATGGTGAAAGTGTACCTTACCTATCTAGAAACTTGTATCATACTGAACTATACAATTTGTAATGTGAATGTGATGAGCCAAGGATGGTGAAAGTGTGTACCTTACCTATCTAGAAACTTGTATCATACTGAACTATACAATTTGTAATGTGAATGTGATGAGCCGAGGATGGTGAAAGTGTGTACCTTACCTATCTAGAAACTTGTATCATACTGAACTATACAATTTGTAATGTGAATGTGATGAGCCGAGGATGGTGAAAGTGTGTACCTTACCTATCTAGAAACTTGTATCAAATTGAACTATACAATTTGTAATGTGAATGTGATGAGCCGAGGATGGTGAAAGTGTGTACCTTACCTATCTAGAAACTTGTATCATACTGAACTATACAATTTGTAATGTGAATGTGATGAGCCGAGGATGGTGAAAGTGTACCTTACCTATCTAGAAACTTGTATCATACTGAACTATGCAATTTGTAATGTGAATGTGATGAGCCAGTATCTGCAGCTGATTACTTAGCGTTGTATCCTTTAAAGTATTGAAACCTCCCAAACGAAGAAGCTTGTAATCAAGTTAAGTAATGCACTAATTTCTCTTCTGTCTTGTATTTGACACTGAAGACATTTTGTTGTTGTTTGATACAGCTTGATGAAAGATGCCAGCAAATTGGTGACACGATGCGTTTATCTCAACATTCTTAGAGCTACAGAATCCAAGGATGCGTCACAGAAGTGAGTAACCTGTTTGTTGTTTCTTGATATATTTATACCAACCTCTGATTCACCTTTGAGTTGCTTATTTTACAATTTATTTTTTAACACTATCACTTTAAACATAAATTAACAATGAAAACTATAGATTTTTAGCTATTTAATATTTTTTCCATGTGGGGGAAATTGAGTCGAAGTGCCAGGCGATATGTTTTCTAATTAAAGCCAATACTTTAAGAGTTTTGATAATAAGAATAAGGGTAACCTAGACAGAAAATAAAAACTGAAACATGGACTCATCGTATCCAAATTGTTAGTTACTTCTCTTTTTTTATTTACGGCCAAGTTTTTGCAACTGTTAACAGGTCATAAGTCGGCACAAAATTTCAGTGTGTTTACATATTGTTGTAAATAATGTCAAAAATGTGTATTATGTGCTCAATTGGATCAGTTTCAGGAACTTTTTGACATCACCAATGTAGTCTTTTTTTATTTACTGTTTTTGTTTTTATTTTGTTTGTTTGTGCCGTGGTAAGTACAGATGGCCGTAAGTCGCAAAGGTCGTATGTTGAGAAGATGATGTATTTTAGATCATCTGCCCCCCTTACAAGCGTGTAGTAAAAGATGACAGGGTGTTTCCTGGGTCCTTCTGCCTGAGAGGCAAGAAACCAACAATTTGCATATAAATTATAGCCAGGTGTGCTTGCAAAGCAAGATCAATGTCCAGAAATGAATGAACGGCCAGAACTTGCCGCGAAAGTTTACAGCCGTGAAAGCAAAGAAGAAAATGAAAATGTCTTTTATGCAACTCTTTAGACAACTTTTAAGTTCAGCTTCCTAGAATATGATAAGTTAAAGTAACAGCTGTATAAGATAGAAATGGTTAAATGCCCCCCCCCCCCCCCCCCCCCCCCCCCCCCCCCCCCCCCCCGCTTTTTTTGCATGTTATTCCACATGTTCTTTTATTAGATAATTGTAGAATATTTTAATTCTATTGCTGTCCCTTATATTGTCAAGCTTACTTTCATCTAAACAGTTTTACTTTTGTCAATTTATTTTTATCTTTAATTTAATTTTTACATTTTGTTATTTTATTTCATATTATTATTTTATTTTCTCTCTTACTAGTACCAGTTATAGCTCATTAACATTTTTATTCCTACTACTCTTTTATTCCTGCTACTATTATATTTTATCACTACTATGTTTGTGACTATTTATTCTGTTTTATTTTATTCATTCCACATCACCTTTTTCTCTTCATTTTATTTTATCTTAGTTTTCACCTGACCCCCGGTGGGTGCTGGTGTTAGTTCCTGTTGAGAAAGGTGCTGGCTAAAACATCAGTTTATCTGTTTGTGCACATTGTTCTCCTTCCACCGTTAAACTTTTTAGTCACAGTTGACTGGATGACTGTCCTTTATATTCCAGGTTTTTGGAAGTTGGTGGCTGGGATATATTGAATAACTGGTTGGAAGTGGCTCGAGAGGATAATAATGAGCCACTTTTGGGTGAAATATTGGAGGTATACCAGACGCTGCCGGTGACTGTTGGGCTGTTGAAACAGAACAGTGCAGCAAAGACAATCAAGCAGCTGAGTAAAGCAGAAAAAGAAAGTAAGTGCATCTTGATTGATTTAACATGAGATGTGAAACTTTACCTGACAACATTCTGAATATGAAATTACCTAATGAGAAAAATAGAATAAATGCCACCAGTACGATTAATTGTAAATTTTTAAAATTGTCATATAAATAGATTTGACTTCAAAGCTTTCAGTAAAACACATTTATACACCAATAATTCTCCTTCTACATTAAGGAAAGTAGTAACTTATACACGTGTGTGTATTTGTAGGCACACACGTATGCAGTGTCGTGATGAAGAGAATAGAAATTAATAATTATGTACATTGTGTGTGAAAGATTCCTGTTGGAGATCTGTGTGCTTGTATGCATGACACACGAGCGAGCGCACACACACCAAAACAAAGAATAAAAAATAACATATTTTAGGCATACAAAAGGCTATAAAAACAGGCTGAAAACCATTTTAGAGTGTAGATTGAAAGACACACAGTGGTTGTAGAGGATAAATAAGATGAGAAGACACTGCTTCCCCTCTGAGTTGTGGGGTGGGGGGGGGGGGGGGGGGTGAATGGGGAGGACAAAGATTAGACCCGCTGCCCCCCAAAGAAATGTGCTCTAGAAGGCAACTAATTTAAGGTTGTTTCCTTTAAAGTTGTCACAGATATTCCATATTTTTATTTTATTGTATCTTGTCACGTGATTTTTCTAGTTTCTTATTCTGTATCTATACAAAATTCCTTCTATCTTTCTTTTTTCTGCATGTGCCCTTAAAAGGGTAGTTCACACATTTTCATTTACAGCTAGGTTGTGATATCCACATTTTTCGATCCAGCTCATCCAATTAAGCAAATATATATATTTGGACAAAATTGGATCTGTTGGACCGAAAGGCACAGATTTTGCAGTCCTGGTATAAGGCACATCTCAACCGTTCACCCTTTTAGGGTGGACGGAGAAGAAGAGGCTAGTGTTAACAGACGTGTAAAAATTGAATATTTTCAACAGAGATCAAGACACTATCCATGGCCCTGGTTGAGAGGTGGACCCGGATCATCAGAGAGCAGAACAGTGCGGCAGAGAACCAGGAAGAAGGTACAGGTGTTAGTTTGGTCTCTTGTGTCTAGGAATTGAAAACTTTATGTTCAAATGAGTTGTAATGTTATGTCCACATTTGTCCAGTTGAAAAGTGCAAAATACAACATAAAATGTGACTAGAAAGCTTGACAGATTAAATGGAAAAGATGCGCATAAATACAATTGAATGTTTCAAAAGTCTCATCAATGGAGTACTAACTACAACAGTCTGTTGTATTTGAACGCTTCTTTTTTCATTTCCTCCGTCGAGATTTAAATTCATTTTTTTGTTTTGTTTTTAGCGCTTCTTGTTATCAGCTTACTATGTTTAGTGTACATTTTAGTTGTCTGCTACATTTAACGATGCATACATTTAATAACTAAATGTAATGTTTTCTACATTTATTGCTATCTATATTTAATATCAATATTTTGTTATCTACATTTAATCTTGCATATGTTTATGGGGGTCTACAATTAGTGATATCTATATTTGGTATTATCTATATTTAATATTTTATGCATTTCTTTACAATGATTACTTCTGAGATACATTGTGTGTTCTTCATTCTTCTTTTGGTCGCATTACTTGGATTCCCTCAGTGTATGGTATCTTTAGTATATTTTTTAATTTGACCACTCTGTCCATTGGACCTATGACTATCAAAGGAACAATTAGAGGCGGTCAGCTTCAGGGCAACTGGGTTACCCTATAGTTCTAGAACTTGAGTGTTGCATGCACATTCGTTTAACAGATTTGTTTTATATATATGCAGACTGCTGGTTACTTGCCTCTCAGGCTGATTTACCCAGGCTTCAAAGGAAGCTCCCAGTTAGTTGACTCTTACGACAAGGATTTTTTGTTCAGGGAGTGGGTCTTTTCTTGTTTTCCCCCACATGCTGATTTTGGGCAGGGAGTGGGTCTTTTCTTGTTTTCCCTCTCAGGCTGATTTACCCAGGCTTCAAAGGAAGCTCCCAGTTAGTTGACTCTTACGACATGCATTTTTGGGCAGGGAGTGGGTCTTTTCTTGTTTTCCCCCACAGTAAGGCCCCGGAACCCACGCTGAGAGTTTTGTTGATTTGAACCCTAGACCTTCGGCCTGGCAAACGACTACTTTCCTTATGAGCCTCAGTAAATACATAAATTTGCTTTTTGCATTATTTAATTTTACGTTTGTTTCAGAGATTATCCTTGTGAATCAGATTTTTCAAAGTTTCCAGCCTAATGAAAGCACAAGAGTGCCAGCTTGGCCTTCACTAGACAGAGAAATGTGTGACAGCCTGCTTCACTAGAAAGACAAATATGAATAGTTTAAGCTGAAACAGAACAGAAAAAGACTGCACATCAAAGCCAAATGCTGATTTTATTTATGTCTATAAGTTCACAAATTCTCATCGACCATTGCTAAGAACATCAGTTTGTGAGTAGTACTTTTTTCAAATCCTGGATTTGAGGGACTTGTTTTTCCTCTTCATGATAACCATCTCTCCCAGCTTGACCTAGCCTATAATGGGTAGCAGGTAAAATCCTGGAAGTAAAGTCGATGTCCGTATCACTCATCAATTGCTTTTTGATCTGTGTAAACATAGAGGTCTCACCCTGAATGCCTGGTGCACCCTGTGTTGCTTCCAGTACCCCATGCACCATAAAAAAGCCTGCCGTTGAAGGTGACTCATTAGGGGTGTTTCCTTCGAAGTTGGAGTGCATCTGCCTCAGAGGCTAGGAATCAACACTCTGATTTCAAACAACAAAAAAACGAAAATCTGTTTAAAAAAAAGATACAAATGCAAAAATCAGTCTCTAGAACAAGACTGTCTGACAGCGGACAAAAACCCAAGAAACTTCCACCATAGTTTACAGCTGGTGAATGCTAACAACAAATTGATGCCCCACTGAAATGCCTGGTGGTGGGAAAAGGGTCCTTTACATTTTTGTTAAAGTACATATTTTTTAACATATGCCTTACTTTTTTTGCAGACAAGAGAAAACAGAAAAAGAACAAGGAGAAAAACAGATTAAGAGAGAAGGAAATGGAGAAAAATGATAAAGAAAATGACAAAAAAGATGGGAAAGAGTCTGAGAAATCCAGAAATCGTGAACGAGACTCTAAAGAAAAAGACTCAAGAGACAAAGACTCTAAAGATAAAGATTCTAGAGACAAAGATTCTAGAGATTCTAAAGATAAAGATCATTCTCATAAAGACAGAAAAGACAAAAGCAGGTATAGAGAGAAGGACAGAGAGCAGGATAAGGCTAAGCGAGAGAAATCAAAGTCCAGTTCAAGCAGTAAAGAATCATCTTCATCGTCATCAGCATTATCGTCTCTTAAAAACCAGTCGTCAGATTTGTCATCCAATAAGAGCAAAGACTCTAATAGTGTTGCTAGCAAAGTATCATCAGTCGATGATGTTAAAACATCTACCTCAGCTTCGACTACCACACTGAATAATAAACTTCCCGAGTCGGATTTCTTGAAGGATGAACCACGGCGGCCCAAAACCGTCAAAATGTTGGGGACAAAGTTCAGGTCGACGGGCCTATTTGATGAAGAGGATGATGATGAGGGAGAGACAGTGACCAGGAAAGCAGAAAAACCACCAGTGAAGAGAGTTGGGTATGTGTACATTGCTCCTGGTTCTATTGTTTATTGTAGAAAGACAAGGATAAACGTTATTCTTGGCCTGTGCCTTGATAATTTATATCTTAAAAAATCGACATAGCATCTCTGTGCTGTGTGTATGTGTGTGTGGTCTTCATCTGTGATATTCTATATTTCCATTTACATCAGTTATATTTTACACACACACACACACACACACATATATATATATATATATATATATATATATATATATATATATATATATATATATATATATATATATATTTTGTAAATATCTTACTGATATTCTGGAGTGCTCATTTTTTATTTTGAGTCTGAGATATTCCATACTTTTATTTTATTGTATCTTGTCATCTGTTTTTCTAAATTCTTATTCTGTATCTATACAAAATTTATTCTGTCTCTATCCTTTTCTAAATTTCTAAATTAGCCCTTAGAAGGGGGGGTTCACACATTTTTATTTACATCTAGGCTGTGATATCTGCACCTTTCAGTCTAACACATCCAATCGAAGCAAATCATTTATTTGTCATCTTTTGCAACGTTTGTAAAGGAGTAATAGGTCTGTTATTTTTTCTTTATACACAACAGGACCCAGAACACACATTCATTTTTGTGTTATTGCTTGTCTGTGATATCAGTCTCTATGATATTGCTTGTTTGTGCTACCTGTCTATATGATATTGCTTGTCTGTGATACCTGTCTATATGATATTGCTTGTCTGTGATACCTGTCTATATGATATTGCTTGTCTGTGATACCTGTCTATATGATATTGCTTGTCTGTGATACCTGTCTATATGATATTGCTTGTCTGTGATACCTGTCTATATGATATTGCTTGTCTGTGATACCTGTCTATATGATAATGCTTTTCTGTGATATCTGAATGATATTCTAATTTTCTATTCTTCATCATTCATTATTGCACTGTGCCTATTTACAGCATAGCTTGCAATAATTACCTCTTTCTGCAGACACATCCAACTTCATGGAGCATTTGTTGTTCAGGTTAACCTTCCTGGTTAGTTTTGTGGGACATAGCAGAGCCTTCCTGTTGTGTCATCATCTTTGCCATCTGGCCCATAGTTAACCCCCCCCCCCCCCTCCCCCTAAGCCTTCCCTAGTGAACCCATCCAGGGCAACCTGGTGCTTTGTGGTTGGGCCTCAAGGGAAGGCAAGGGCAGAACATAGGTATTCTTTACCCTCCAAGGAGGCTTTAATCAATGGGAAGTGTTGAATTGCTAGCACAGGAGGCTTAGAATATCGAGCAGTGAAATTTTATTTCAGTGAAATGGTGAGTTTTCCTTTGCAAGAACAAGACCTTTTTGTGGTACTGGGGGGAGGGGGGGGGGGAATGAGGGAAGTGGTCTAATAAGACTCCCTGTCCCTTATTAGCAAGCATGTCCTAAAAGTGACCAGTTTGATGAAATCAGATGTGTTTGTCTAAAGGACACAAATAATGCAGCCTAGCTGTAAACCATAACATTCTCCAGTTCCCACTGGCCTTTCATGGATGATCACAGAACATGAGAAGAAGGTGAAATAGATATCTACCCCAAGTAGTAAAAAATGGGTGAACTTTGAACCGCTCATTTTTCCTCCATGTATTTTTTTAAATTGAATGACAAAATCATTCGCAGAACTAATCATAGAAAATGTTGCAGATTAAATCTGTTTACATCTTCTTTTGATTATGGGATCAGCAGAATGTAGCAGCTTCATGTTTTGCTGCTGGCCCAAAGCCTGAAATGGATGCAAAGTAATGTCCTGGGAATAGAAGTGACTGATGTGCTGTTGGCCACATTGCCCATCACAGGCTGTTTGGTTTATGAGAAAAATATGAATCTGGCATCACATTCCCAGTGCGCCACTCGAAGTGAAATGGTCCCTTACCTCTACTTGTGCACAGTTAAATCTAAAGCTGGCTTACTGTGAGTTGCTTCACCACCTGTGCTGTATTGGAAGATGAAAGAACTAGTAACGTGAAGCTGCCAAGGCATCTCATCTTAATTTAGCCTATAACTGAACATGTGTTAGGGGATGGCAAGGTGTCTAAAGATCAAGGCAAATACAGTAGAAAAGCAAGGACTTTTTTTCCTAGAAAAAAGGTACCAGTACTCACTACAGTGTTTCATAAAGCAGCGCTGAAAATAAGGATGGCTAAAAAAGATGTGGCTGTACTGTGTACCATTGCATACTGTCAAAAAAAGAGCCTTGGTTTAAAGGTTTTTATCACCTAAACAATACTAGGCAAGAAGGCATCATATGTAACGACATTGCTCATGTTCACTAGTCCACATGTTACTAGGCAAGAAGGCATCATATGTAACGACATTGCTCATGTCCACTAGTCCACATGTTACTAGGCAAGAAGGCATCATATGTAACGACATTGCTCATGTTCACTAGTCCACATGTTACTAGGCAAGAAGGCATCATATGTAACGACATTGCTCATGTCCACTAGTCCACATGTTACTAGGCAAGAAGGCATCATATGTAACGACATTGCTCATGTCCACTAGTCCACATGTTACGTATGACGGACATCTTCATTTTGGCACAGCATATTAAAGCGCCCCAACTGCGCATCGGTCTCCAAAGGATGATAGTGAGCTAGTATTCGTATTGTTTTTTTTGCTGCAGTAATTGCAGCAGTTTATTTATAGTGACTCAGACATACTACTGAGACTGCCTGTAGTTGCAGTAGACCATACCCAAGTTGTGATGATGTACTTTAATGTCTGTATGCAGCTGTGGGAACAACCTAGCCTTTAAAATAACACCAGAGATTGTTTCTTCTCTGGCAAGTGTGGTAGGTGTTTCTTCTCTGGCAAGTGTGGTAGGAATGGACACGCGTGGGTGGGTTTTGAGATGCCATTTCCGAAAAGTCAGAGTAGACATGCTAGGCAACTAATAAGAATTTGCTGAAATTAGATTTACTTGGCCGAAAAAGACACGTCTGTCGCAGCCTAGCTATAAACTGCAGCACAGTGTGCAAGCCACTCTTTTAAGAGTGAACACGGAAGAAGAAGACACAGCTAAAGAAGGAATCTAAAGGAGGTCTGTCACTTCACAAATTGACACATACACAGACAGATACACATATACCGATGCACAAGGGATGCAGACACGAGACACATACACACCAATATTATCATATTATATTGCCCATGTAGGTTCCCGGGCCTCATGGTGGGGGGGGGGGGGAATGACACAATAGGTGTGTTGGTCAGTTTCCCTCCTGATTGCTTTCTCTTCTCAGGCAGTTACTTTTCAGGTAGCATGTGTTAATCCCAAATATCGGCATACCGTGAGCTGTTGTGGGAAGTAAAGGTGGCCGGCATGATGTTGACCACATCACCCACAGAGTGCCTATTGGTCTAGCCTAATACGCCTCAAGTTGGGTAAAAGAGTTCTTTAATAGTTTTTTTTAAAAACCTGGAACTGTCGTCTTAGTAAAAGTAAAGACCAGAAGCTGCCAGATCAGAAGAGCCGTGCTCTCTCCACCTGTAGGAGCTTCCCTCCTAGAGCAGCTAAATTCGAACCCCAGAGTTAGTTAATTCACAACACACATGATACTGGTGAATGCCTGAATTTAGAGCCTGTAAAACAATAATTTCTCTGAATTCACAAACTATATCAAACTAGTGAATTCACAGGAGTTAAAGTGTACGTAATATAACTTTCTCAAATTACCATCCATATATTATTGGTGACCAACTACTGGACGACGTAAATTTGCCTAGAAAAAACCACAACAGCAAAAAATTGCAGGGGTTAGTTCTGCAATGTCCTGTAAAGGATACACAACTAACTTAACATTATTCTTTTTTTTTTTTCTGCTACTACCGTTTGCTGTTCATCAGAGCTTTACAAACTGTTTTTTGTCACACATTAGTATTACGACTGCATACGAACGTAGAACAAAATGATTTGCACAAACGCATAGATGCAAAACACAATGCTGTATTTAAACTTTTTACTTTGTTTTTGTATCAGCTGCCGGCTTTGTTAAATAGTAAATCAGTCTTTTACACATTCAGTTTTATTTATTTTTTGTGGGTCGAAATTTATGCCTGTGTTCACATCTCTTATAAAGGCCTTTAATTTGCTAGTAATTCAGACGTATTTGTCTAAAAAGTGTGTCATCAGATGTAAAGTTTGGAAAGCTCTGCCCTTCATGATGCTGATAATACTGAGAATGGGAAATGCAGGACACTGTGTTGGTACTGTGTTTCATGTAATAAAAGCCTGGAAACCACAGTGTTAACATTTATCTGCATGTTTTTGTATGGATGCACATGTGCGCATGCACGCGTTAGACCACGTACAACTCATTTCTTGCTGACACGACTCATTGTATCTGGGCTGATTGTTTCATATTTGTTGTTAAAGTCATGCTGGGGTGGAAGAAGTTGGGATGGGAACCGTAATATTGTCCCATGGCTAGAGCTGTTTACCATGGCTATAACTCCTGTCCTGTAGTTAGAACTGTCGTCCTATTGCTAAATGTTCTCCATGGCTAGAACTGCTCTTCCATGGCTAGAACTGTTGCTCCCTTGTTTAGAACCTTGCTGTGGGCTAGAGCTGTTACCCCTTGGCTAGAGCTGTTGTCTCATGGCTAGGGTTGTTCTTTCATGGCTAGAGCTGTTGTCTCAAGGCTAGAGCTCTTGGCTATGGCTGTTGTCTCTTGCTAGAGCTGTTGTCTCTGCCTGAAGCTGTTATCCCTTGGCTAGAGCTGTTGTCAGTTGGCTAGTGACAAGTCCACACGCACCTTAAGCTGTGTTAGATACAAAAGACAGAAACTAAAACCCAGAGATTAAGATAGAATAAGAAAGAACATATCTTCTTCTCCTCTGTCTCATAGTTTACTATAAATTTGTAATATAACAGGTTTAATAAAACACTCAAGTAAAATAGCATAGGATATCTGTTTAATGGGCTTAATACAAGGAGATAGATTCAGAAGTATCAAACAAGAATAATTGTGAAGTCCTAAACAAGACTGTCTCAACTGTCTTCATTAATTGTCTCTTCTCATGTCTCAACTGTCTTCGTTCATTGTCTCTTCTCATTATCACTTCTTTATATCCAAACACCAATTGTATTTTTCTTGTAAATGTTAGCTTACATCATCATATGTTGGTGAAGTTTTTCAGATATGAAATCTCTTGTAGGAAATTCTGGGTGGGAGGTGTTTATTTGTTTTGTCTTTTGTGACTGTTAAAGTGTGTATGTACTGAATTGTAAAGCAGTCGTTTCGTTGTTCACAGTGTGAGAAAATTTAACGATTATGTTAGGAGAACAGATGCCTAACTGTATCATGTGTTAGGAAAATAGATTCTTAACTATGCACTGTGGTAGGAAAATAGGTGTCTGTGTACTATAGTAAAAAAAAAAAATATGTGTCTGTCTGTGCGCTGTGGCCGGGGAATATATGTCTAACTGTGCTGTGGTAGGAGAATAGATGTATAACTGTGCACTGTGGTAGGGGAATAGTGTCTAACAGCACTAAGGTAGAAATATAGTTGTCCTAGCTATGTGCTTTGTTAGGAACAAATAATTGTGCTGTTGAATTAGGACATTTCATACTCACACGCCTGCAGCAATTCCTGCCTTGAAAACATTGCTACCTATGCCTCATGTCTCTGCTTTATCTATTTAGTAGCATTTGTTGGGATGTTTGCGTGTGTTTGTAATATTAATTATCAGAAACCACATTACCAACACTGATTGATTAACCACAACGATAGCTAACAAAGTCGCACAGGTCAAAGCTTACATGAGGGTATCGGTAGACAATAACCACCCACTGCACAAAGCTATACACGACACAAAAGGAATGTGCCTCAAAAGAGGCCACTCCTGGATGGCCATGTCTGAAAATTTAATTCAGCAGGTTTGTGACCTAGACAAGATAGTTAGAATGGAAAAATACACCAGTAGACTTGTGTGGCATTGCTAAGGTTGTCACACTGAGAAGGTACTGCAGGGATCAGACTCCTGTGGCTGTAGACACATAGGTAAGGGCACTGATAGATCAGCATTCACACCCAGAAGACATCATTATCTACACAGATGGATCCATGAAGCCCAGATCAAGGTCAGCATGGGCATGCACAGCGTAGGGGGGGATACAACAGGACAGCAGCACTTACCAAGCAACCACTTCAAGTATGACCATAGTGATGGCCGCTGCTTCTAGAGCACTAGCATGGGCAGCAGAGCAAGCAGCCACTCATGCAGTAATTGTATCATATGCTTCAGAAGATAGCAACAGGCGGTATGCGCTCTGAATGGGTAGAAAGCATTCAAAAATCGCACTTAACCTCCCTCACCTGGATCTACACACCTGATCATGCTGGTGTAAAGGGTAATAAGCAAGCGCACCAACTGGCAAGTAATGCACAAACGCATGTGGGAAGAATCATGAACAGAGCAGATATCAACACTGTACGAACTGGGCTAGTGGATAATGACAAATCTATGACACTAACACAACTGCATGACATGGGAGTAAAGCACCATAAAGCACGTCTTAAAGAAAATTGGAACCAAAGCCTGGTGAAGCTATTATAAACAGAAATCAGCTGAAAGTTCATTCTACCTACGGACATGAAACAGAAAACTGATGGTACATCTACCCCCATTTCAAACTGAAATTAAAAACCAACTGAAGCTGAAAGAAAGAAAAAAGAAATTGTGAAACTGAAACACGCAAATCTATTCTATTCTTCCAATGAAACAGGTGTCTGCAGAAGAGTGGGAATTTAATGGTATTATAAAATAATTAATTTGAAGCTCTGGGAAAGAACTAAACAAACTCCAGTAAATCAAGAGGAGAAGAAAAGACACTGGCGGTACTGGATAGAACACACATTGAGAAAACCTGAAAACAGTATAACTATAATGTCTTTACGCTAGAACATACAAGGGCAAAGAAATTAAGGCAGACAAGAAAACACACACAGAAGAGAAACAGAGAGTGAAGTTGAAAAGATGTGATGAGCTGCAAAATATAGGATGACTTGGCTTAGGATGTAAACTCCACTGAGGTATAAAGGACAAGAAGAACAGTAAAACTGAAATGCAACACAACGTATATTGACTGACATCTCTAAAAACTAGCAGTATTTTACAAAAAAGTCAGAAACCCAAGTTCGAGGTGTCTCCTTCGTGCCAAAGAACTGCATGGCTGCTGGGTGAACAGTCGTTAACGAAGACAGGCAGGTCGTTGTAGGGGCGATACCTGCTGGTGGATGTAATGTCCTAAGTCCCTTCCCCAGCTAATAATGAGGGTACTGCTTTGGTGAACGTTTATTAACCCTCATATAATGCTTCAGGTCATAATGGACGCTAGGCACAGCCACCTTTTTTTTTTCATTTGTTTTCCTGCCAGACGGTGGCCGTTGCATTTTTGCTCCATTTGTAGACTGAAAGGATATAGTTTCGTCGCCTAGCTTCTGAGTTGAGTGCATGGCGTGACACTGTGAGCTACGTGTGTTTTTCGTTGGCACAGGAGCAGAGCAACTATGGGGTGACCCGTTTGCTATGAAGCTGAAACTAGGATTACCAGATTACAAGGTATCTTCATTTTTATTCATTCAGTGGGACTAGATACAACCTGGCTGTCTGTTTGCACCTTTAAAGACACTGAATGATGGAACAAACCTTGTTTTTAAAGGGTCACAAATTAGGCATTCAAATGGTGACTGGCACACAGTTGTGGTTTGAAGCTAGGCTATGATATCTGCATGTTTCGACCCAACATCCAGTTTCAGCAAACCACTATTTATGTATTCGCCTTTTACAGCATGCTTATTGGTGTTTTTTTTTTTGGGGGGGGGGGGGGGGGGGGGGACGCTATGATTCCCGCAATCCCAAATGGGCTGCCAGAATCCATACGGGTAGAAGGCATTTCAGACTTGATATGTTGTTTTTATTACTTTCCCAAGGTTCTTTTCTCAACCTATTAATATATAGAATGAATTTTGATTCTGACTTTTTATTTTCCTGGAGCTTAAACAAACATAATAGTTAAAATTATATCTTTTTGTTAAGTTCTTTGAATTATTTAATAATCAGTTTATTGAGTGTGCTGTATGAAGAAATAAGCATTTAGGTTTTACTGTTTCAGTGTGGACACCAAAATGGAAGAGTCCTCAGAGAAGAAACCAAGACTTCACTTGTCGATGCCCACCCTCACTCCATCAAATATGGAAACAGCATCGACTACGCCACCGGAAGTTACTCACGGCAGAATAAAACTCATAGCACCAAAAAGACGTAAGTGTTGATGATGACTATAGATCTCAGGTCAAGATTTCTTTAGTCTTTTCTCTATGTTCACCAGCTATAAACTCTTAGCAGAAAGTTCTGGTTGTTCATCCACTTCTGGACTCTAGTTCTGTTCCAAAACCTGAGTGTTGTATGTACATCAGTTTACAGATCTGACTTATATTTGTATGCAGATTATTGGTTCCTTGCCTCTCAGGCAGATGCACTCCGACTTCAAAGGAAGTTCCAATTAGTTAACTGTACCCATACTTTTTGTTTTCCCCACAATGATACCCTAAAACCCATACAGGGATTTCTTTCGTCTGAACCCATACAAAAAAGTAAAGGACTTTTTTTTTTTTTACGTCAGTGGCGCATCAGGCATATGATGTTAAAGAAATATTGTTTTTTTCCAAGACAGATCGGCACTTGATCAATCCTGTGGTCAGCAGCATACCCCAGACATCTTTACTTTCCACAACATCACATGGTAGCATTTTTAGGCTGGATAACTGGAAGCCAATGGCAGTTTGGTGGTGGGGGGGAGGGGGCGCGACCTGATGTAGATTTGAACTCATATCTTCAGGCTGGCATGCAAGCATCTAGCCAGCAGGCTGTCATGGCTTTCTTTGTCTGCTTGTTCCTAATTGTTTACTAGGATTTGTGAAAGTAGAAATTGCATATATTTGTATGTTTTTGTGTGTATATATATATGTGTGTGTGTGTGTGTGTCCAGTGCAGTCCACTTCCTGCATGGAGACGACACAATTCCCCCCCCCCCCCCACAATATGTGTGATTGTAGCGATTGTATTTATTCCTTGTTTGTCCATTTATTCTCCAGTAGTATATATCTTCTTCTTTATATCTTCTCAGCGTTCACTGGCTGTAAACTCCAGTAGAAAATGCTGGTTGCTTGTCCATTTCTAAACTTTGACCTTAACTTTCAGGCAGAATTACTATGACTTCAAAGGAAATGCCCTTAATTAGTCGCCTTTTATGACATGGATATTTTGGGGTGGGTCAGTCCTTACCTGGAACTCACAGGGAAGTTTTATATCTGAATCCAAGTCACTAATACTTAACTCTTACATTCTCGCAGCTCCAGCCCATGAGATTCAAGAAAGCAGTGTGTTTATCGATGCCTTGCAGCAGGCTACTTACTCCAGCGGCATCAAGAGAAAGAAGAAGAACAGCTCTCCCTCCGTCACCACGGCTCCAGTCACGTTCAAAAATTCCTCCGCCACATCACCACCATCAGCATCTTCTCCGCCCTGTGCGTCGTCCCCGCCTCCCAACACACAAGTTAGCGAAGCTGGTCCTATGTCTCCGCCGTTGTTGTCGCCCACCACCGTTATGGCACAGAAACTGCCATCAGTACCATCGGTAAGCCGTGTGTGTGTGATTTAAAAAAAAATAATTTTGTAATTATTTAGTTTTACCTTTTCCCCTTTCACTCTGCTTTTTTTTCCCACTGACACCATTGGACAGCCTCTAATATATGTTTGTATTCTTTTTCTTCTTTTTCCTCTTTCTCAGTCATTCTATTCTCTGCCTCCCCAATTTTCTCTCTTTTTTTGTTTATTTGTGTGCAGTTTTTGTGTGTTTACTTTTCCATACTCTTACCTTTTATATTTTTTCCCCCACTAACACTGTTGTACAGCATAGATTTGCATTGTGCGGCTGCTGCTTCTTCTTCTTCTTTTCTCCCTTTCCCTGTTTGTCATTCTCCTCTCTATCTCCCTACTTCTTTTCTCTTTCTCTCTTATCTCTCCGGCTGACTTTGTTTCCACAGCTGCCACATCTTATAGTTTATTTTAACTATCTCTGTGTGCATATCTTCAAGTGGTACTTCTTTTATGTCCTTGTTTATCCAGAGCTCTCAGTCTCTCTCTTTCTACCTTTCTCTTTCTCTCTCTCTCTGTCTTTCTCTCTCTCTCTCTCTCTCTCTCTCTCTCTCTCTCTCTCTCTCTCTTTCTACATTTGTGTGATATAGTTTAGCCTTACATATATTATAAATGTATATTTCTGGCACATATTTTATGGATCTGCAAAAGAAGATGGCTGAAAGATTATAATGAGCACAGTCAGGGGGAAGACCATGCACAGTATGGAATGATGGCATCAAGAACAATCTTGAACCCAAAAATTTTTTCTGTTTATACTAAACATGAGAAAAAGCACACATAATATCCTTAAAGCCTCTCTTCCCCCCTCTCCCCCTCCCCAACCTAAACAACCAATTATATTAGAAAAATATATTTAAGGAAGTTTTTCTTCTTCATTGTTTCTAGTTCTATCGGGATACGCTGGAAGATGTGCCTGAAAGTACAGGTGTTAGCAAAAAGGAGTCGGAACCCGACAGTGACAGTCCTCCTCCTTTGGTGAAGGTGGATTCAGCAGACGCCGAAGTGGAGAATGAAACCAGAGCAGGAGAGGAGTTGATGGATACAAATGAAGACAAATCAGGTTTGTTTGTGACTAGCTGATGGATGTCTTGATTATTGCAAAGTATTGACAAGATATGACAAATTATTCACCAATTCAAAGAGCATCTCTTTATTTTTCTCCCAGTGGGTTTTGGTGTGGAAAAAAAAGACACATTTACACGCCCTTTGGGTGTATTGGATCTAAAGTGCTAGACCTATATTTTATAGACCAATCAGCACTCGGTGGGTGATGTGGTCAGCTTGACTTGCCAGGATTTTAATTTGATACCCACTCAAGGCTGGGCGAATCTAGGAGCCAAGGTCATTTTAAATAAAATCAGGTTTTGTTCAGACTGGAACCCATGACTTTCAGATCAGCAGGCAAGCACTTAGCTGCTACACCAAGGCGGCTCCTGGGTTCCAGTGTAAAACCCTTTTAATTGTGTTTTCAGGTTTTCTCAACATGTTTCCTATCCAACACTACATCATATTTTCTTCATCTCTTGATCCACTAGAATTTTTTTTTTTTTTTTTTCGAAGCTCTGCATTAGTGATTTTATCATACCATTTACTTCCCTCTGTTCTGTGCAAGCACCATTTGATGAATGTTTGTAGTGTATTAGTAATTGTTTTAGTTGTACTGCATGTTTTGCTCTACACAGCAGTAAATTAACCATTGTTGAAATTTAAAGAAAATAAATTATTTTAGTATGGTCAAATTGTAAATAGTCGTGAGTATACACAGGGACTGGTTCATAACAATACTAAATTTGTCTTTTGTCTTGTAGGTCGTATTTGGTTTGGGGAAAGCAAGAATATGATTTTCTATGTCTGGTTTGCTATGTAATTTATGTGAAGTCAGCATTCTGGTGCTCAGAACCATATTTAACATCCGGTTTCTCACTCCAATCCTATGTAGCTAAAGCAGACGTCAAGGTGCCAGAAATTTCCAATGAGTCTAGTTTAGAATCACAGCAAAAGCCGGCCAGTGACAAGAAATCTAAAAAGTCTGTCTCTTGGGCTAGAGAAGCCTGCCTGGAAGAGATTTTCTATTTTGAAATGGATGAAACAGAGAGGGGTAAGTGTTGACCTTGCATCAACTTTTTATTTCAATCTTAATTTGTCAAAGACCTGTGTTAGACTAGTTATGTTTGGTCAGCTAGCAAGATGGCCGCAAGACAGTGCTCTACAAAGTCAGAAGTGTTTTGACACAGTAGAAATAGAACATTGTCCCCAACAATTGAAGAAGGATGGCGTTTCGGAGGCTATTTATGTACCACAGTGTATGAAAGACACTTACAGCTCACTCCAAGTCTCTGTTATCATCCTGAACTGAGAGGTAAAACATGGATGAAGATTTGTCAGATCAAGACTAGATAGGAATACTGTGATATTTTTTCCCCTGGGTTTCTCCTATCAGCTATACAATACAGAGTGTGAGGTATTTCTGTATTTTGAGGGTGAAGAGAAAAGACTGACTAGGGGAATCTCATTGTTTACAATGAGTGCTTGGTATATATCTTAGAAATTCTTACTACTGTAAATTCTGGACCATTTTACAGTTACAGAAGAAGAAATTTCGATTTTTTTCTACTTTAAAAATGTTACAGACAAATTCTTAGAATACCATGGTCAAGAGGAGAATAACATTGTACAGAACTTGAAAGTTAAGGAGGCTTGGCTCATAAACAGCATCATATCTCAGAAACTGAATTGCTACAATCATTTAAAAACTGTAATGGTTAAATAAAACAAAATACATTGGGGAAAGCATGGTTTATAGAAGAAGAGGCTCGCCATGTTGGTTCCAGGCCCCATGTTGGTTCCACTGCCCCATGTTGGTTCCACTGCCCTATGTTGGTTCCACTGCCCCATGTTGGTTCCAGGCTGCGCTTGGTTCCACTGCCCCATGTTGGTTCCACTGCCCCATGTTGGTTCCAGGCTGCGCTTGGTTCCACTGCCCCATGTTGGTTCCAGGCTGCGCTTGGTTCCACTGCTCCATGTTGGTTCCACTGCCCCATGTTGGTTCCACTGCCCCATGTTGGTTCCACTGCCCCATGTTGGTTCCACTGCCCCATGTTGGTTCCACTGCCCCATGTTGGTTCCACTGCCTCATGTTGGTTCCAGGCTGCGCTTGGTTCCACTGCCTCATGTTGGTTCCACTGACTCCTAACAAGCATGCTGTGCTAGATGACTATTTAGGGATTTCCTTTGAAGTCATAGGTCATCTGTTTGAGAACCAGTCTGTATAAAAATAAGTCAGATCTGTAAAATGGATGTACACAAAACACTTAAGTGCTGGAATAGCATCAGGGTCCAGAAGTGAAAGAAACAACCATGACCTTCTGCCGGAGATCACAGCCAGTGAAGGCGAAGAGAATGCAGAAGCAAGGGTTGACAAAAATGAAGGTAGACAGTGGATTAGACATTATAGGAAAGACATTGTCCTAAAGATCTGTTGCAAAAGGATGACTTACATTACTGTTTTATTTTCTAGAAAATGTCAATCGGCCAAAGAGTTTTATGGACATGAAGAAGGCAGAGATGTTGCTGGATCGACGTGTAAGTAGTAAATTGTTCAGATGTGTCGTTAGTTAACAGTCTCAAACCCAGCCTCATGGAAAATTGATTACTCCATAACTGCTCCATTCCTGTACCAGCAAAAACAGACTCCAGTCCTGGTGAAAAGCCAATAGCATACAAACACATTAAATGCGTAAAATAGCCGCTAGAGAGGCCAACACCAACAGAAAACCACCTGAACTGCAGTTCATCTTTGATGGAATCAGCAGTCAGAACCTGTCAGCAGTTGCACATGTCTTACTGTACAAGGCACTACCACTTCTGTGGCAACAGTCCATGCCATTATCTGATTATGCAGTTCACTCCCAAATGTGAACTCAAGTTGAATTTTTAAACAAATTAAATCCTCAAGTTCTCTATTAAATGTAGTGATTGTAATGGTTGACATATCTTATTAATGTTTATAAATGGATTTATAGAAGGCATTGTACATTTAGTGTATGTTTAATTATACATTTCAAAAAACCCCTTTAGTCCCAGTAGATTTTTGTTTCTTCTGCTTCTTCTCTTCCACCATTTACCTCAGTGAGGTGTTGGGGGGAGATGTAAGGATTGTTTGTGTGCTTTTTCCAATGCTTTGTACAAGTGGGTGTTCATTTCTGTTAGGTTGTTATTGATGATGTCGCTCCATCTCTTGCGTGGTCTTCCCCTTGCTCTGTGTTTGTGATATTTCTTCATCGTGGCAGTTGGTACCAGGGCATTCTCGTCAGGTGGCCAAACCATTTCATCTGTTGTTCTTTAATGAATTGTATGACAGGTTTCAGTCCTTGTCTTCTAATTTCTTCATTCTATTCTATCTTTCTTATCACACTGGCAGTTCTGTCCTAAGACACCTCATCTCTGTTGTTTCGATCTTCCACTCATTAGTTGTAGTAAGAGTTCATGTTTGGTAGATTTTTGCACCAAGGGAAAATGTTTACTTAAGCATATCACTAGTGCATTATTTTCAGAATAATCATAAGAATTAAAGATATCCACAAGGAAAGCCAGATTTATATTTCTGTGTTATAGACTCAAATGTAAATTACTCAAAACATAAATGAGTGGTGGGATTAGTGGGAAAAGAATAAACAACATACTACTACTTATGCTTTTAATGAAAGTAAAAAAGATTTTATCATTCTTTGAGAGAGAGAGAGAGAGACATATACACACATAAAAGGGGAGATAGGCCCACTGCTCAACATGTAAAACTGCTTAGCATGCCATAAAGTTAAAGTGACTAATTAAGGGTGTTTCCTTCAAAGTGCTTTTGCCTAAGAGGTGAGGAACCAACATTCTGCATACATACAAGCCAGATCTGTTAATAGGCATGCTCCCAAAACTCAAGCTCTAAAATAAGACCAGTCTAAAAGCAGATGGACAACCATAACTTCCCATCAGATTTACAGCCAGTGAATACTCAGAAGAAAAGAAGACGACGACCACTAGTTCTGAAACATTAGCAAGCTTGCTAACAGTCACACTACTTTCTCTGTGTGTGTTTTTGTATGTATATATTGTTTTAATGTCATCCTTTGCACAAACAAAGAGCATTGCTTATAACTTGATGATAATGTCAGTCAACTGCAAGAGTTGTATAATATTTTTATCTTTCTAGGCAATGGAATCAGCCAAGCGCTTCAACAATGACACAATGGTGGAAGTGTTGCCAGTAAGTGATGTTATTTTGTTTGATTTATTCCCCTTGTAGGTTCCGGGCCTTCATTTTTTTTTTTTTGTGTTTTTTTTAAGGGAGAAGAAAAAACCCACTGCTCCCTAGCAAACTTCACATAACAAATAACTAATTAGGGGTTTTTACTTTGCAGTCAGAGTGCACCTGCCTGAGAGGTGAGGAACCAACAGTCTGCATACAAATAAGCTAGATCTGTAAAACAGTGAACTTCTGGAACAAGATCAGAGTCAAGAAATAAATGTAGTATAATCAGAACTTTCTGCTGGAATTTCCACACAGCGCTTTGTGTATCATTCACATCAGTTATAAGTTAGAAAGAAAAAAAGTTTCAGAATTTATAGTTTGGGCAAATTGATTGCAAGTGTAACTTCATCTTTGCAAAGCAACTGAATTCGGGTTTTTCTCCTGTCAAAAAAGGCAGGCATGAACTGACCGATGCAGATTTGCATAAAATAGAAATGCCTAGCTGAAAACCGACGGCTTTGGAATGGATGATGAGATACATCCATCACTCAAGGCACTCAACAAGCGAAACACAAATACTGAAATACTTGACGATGATGATGATGATAAAAATACTGCTTGTTTTTCCCATGTAGGTTCTGAGGCCCCATTGTTATAAAAGATGACTAGATAAAAGTTTGCTGAAATGAATGTGTTTGGCCAAAGGCACAGTGGTTGTAGCCTTGATGTTGTCCACAACACATTGTCCCAGTGCTCTTTTAAGGATGTACGCAAAACAAGAAGAAACTGCTTGTTTTGTATTCTGATGAATGACATGTTCAGAATTTATGACTTTGCTTTATATTCCATTTTCCTGCAGTGGAGGCATCCGAAGCCAATAGACAATGTGATAGTGTTGGTAGAGTCTGGATGTAACAGTGCGGAGAAGCATGTGCAGATGAAGAGGGAGCAGGGTGTGCTGTGTGCACTGTTCTTCAACAAGTAAGTTTCTTACAGAAGGCCCATGTGCTTTAGCTTGTCTTACACAAAGTTTCATTGTTGTGACTTGTCTTAAACAGCATCTCCCAGCTCTAACCCTTTGGCCCTGAGATGCTGCTGATCTGGTGTCACTGACCATTACTCATCCCCACAAAGACTTTCTGCTGGCATTGTTTAATTGGCCAGTTTCCGACAAGCGTAGTTAATACCACCTTCAGTTTTTGAGGAAAGAAAAGTTGTCCTGTTTAACCAACATTCCCGAAGCGATGGCCTTAGGTTAAAACTGTCTAGTTTATGGGCGCCATATGAAATGGTTTGGTATTGCATGCTACCAAGGGCCCTGAAACACACTCCTGCGGTGTTGATGCGATCAAAGAAGACAGAACCAAATACTATCCTGACTGATGGATGACCAAGTCATCTCTTAGCAAGCCAATGGGCGACCCGGTTGCTGAAATGAAGCCTAGTTAACAGGCACCTTGCTGAGTTGAACAGGACAGAATATGATTATTGTTACTGAAAACAGCATTTAGTTGGGGGAAAAGGGGAGGGGTTGTTAAAAGTGGATTCTTTATTCATGATGATGTCATAATTCACCTTTATCCTTAAGTGGTGGCGTAGGAATGGGGTCACAGTATAAATTGTTTTCTAGGCACCCAGGATATATTCCCATTTACTTCTCTGCTCTGTTCATGTTTATTGATTATTCCCTTTCATATGTTTCTTTTTTTTTTTGTTATAATTTTTTTTTCTTCAAGTTATTCCCTTTTATATATCCTATTAAAAATTTAGAAGTCGCACAAATAACCATTTAAAAAAAAAAAAAATTTGTGTTGTGTTTAAAATATTTTAGGAATTTCCAGGTCGATTACCTTTGTTCCCTTGAGGTTTTCGGTGTGAACGGGTGGACACCTTTTCTGTCTCTTTGCTGTATCTTGCTTTCCAGATTTATTTGTTTTACACAGTCTCTTTCACTTTTTTCTATCTTTCTTTAATTTTAATTTTTTTTTCAAAATTGTCTATGCTTCAGCTGTATTTACAAAAAAATCTCTTTTCTTTGTTTTATTAGCTATTCAGCATGTCCGAATAACATGCAGAACTGGAAGTAGGCTGCACTTTCTCGTGGGACCCAAGGGGATTAGCATTATGTCCGGTTATGCATGTTTCGGGACCGTTAAAATGCTCACATCCTGTAATAGAACACACGATACCGCCGGCCGGCAACAACTAGTAAAATGCTGTGTGTTGTTGGCTGGTCACTAAGCTTGACACGCACTGCAACATAGCACAAGTCCTGAGACATGGCAATTTATTAATGGGAAGGGAAGTTACTGTCTTTCTAGACCCAAGAATGTGAGATGTACTGATAAATTATAGTTGTATGAAGCTGCTTCTCCTTCTGCATTTGTTCTTGAAAAGGCGGGTAGCATGTTGTGTGGTTTACAGATAGGCTATGATATCTGTGCCTTTTGGCCCCTAAAATCCTATTTCAACCTACCCCTAATTAGTCAATTTTATTACCACCACTGTGGTCTCAGAACCTGCATGGGGATGTGAAACTACCAACTTGGGTTGCCCCAAGCTGTAGGCAGATAAATCAGAACTTCCAGCCCAAACAAGACACCTGTCTGACCCAGTCGTACTGGAACATGAGAAAGGCAAAGAGATGAATATCTGGATGGCTTGGACGTATAAATGGGATGAGACAGAAGCACTGACCTGATCGATGATTTTGGTATCATGAGAGATTGCGAAACATGACCGCCTACACTTAGCATCGGTACCGGAGTAAAGCACCCTGTTTCATAAAGCTGTTACTGAATATACCTGACATCCTTATAATGTCATCTGTGTAGGTCTGTGCCAGTCATAAGATGATTTGACCTTTTGTCTATTGCAGAGTGCCAGACACACCTATCGAGCCTGACCCAGACACATCCACCGATAAAGTGGAGACCAAAATCATTCCCCTGGAAGATGTAAGTTGAATTCAGAGTTTGACGTTTGTTCCTGTTATGTTAAGGTTTAATAAACAAATACGACTCACTTTCATTTTCATTTCAGATTCTGACTCCTTAGTGGACATTTTTGCAGTCAGTACAAAATAAAAATGACATATGATCTTTTGAAATAAATGTTGCAGAAAGATTATCATGTTGACTAGTGTTTGCCCAAAAATAATACCTATCCCAAAAGTAAGCCCTAGCATGATTTTCAGGAAGCTTTTAATATAAGCTATATCCCAGAAATAAGCCATGACTAAGATTGTCTGCTAGAATGAGAGACTTGTAGCCGGATGGCCAAGTCGGAGTACAGACGCCACTGGTGCGCATTTGAAAATTAACAGATAGGGTTCTTTATTCAAGATACATCATTTGTATGAAATAAACAAGATGTATGGTTCAGAGGTTGACGCATAAAAATGGCTACCAGATCATTTCTAGAACTGTCCAGGAAAGAAAAGTGATGAGGAATGAAACTGACCTCCTAACTTCATATGTCTGGGCTTGAATGTTGCAGAAGGTAAATCTTGAATAGCTCAAGCAAAGGCAGCGTTTCACAGAAGTGAAGAATTTTCTATGCAGTCTTTATTTGTCAGTTGAGCCAAGAAAGACAATTCTCAAGAACTGTATTAATCTATCCTGATACACAAAAGTGGGTCTTGGACAGTTAGTTGATTAGTTAACATTATGTCCAAGCAGAGAAGATGTGATTTTATAGACAAATAATGAGAACGTCGTGGACTAAAAAAAAAAAAGTGGTGAAGAAATTTACTTGCGAAGGAAACTGATTGCCCACATAAGAAAGAGACAAGCTACATTTTTTGATCATATCCTGAGAGGGAGAAAACTAGAATGCATCGTGACGGTAGGAAAGTTGAAGGGAAAAAATAGAGAGGGAGAAAACTAGAATGCATCGTGACGGTAGGAAAGTTGAAGGGAAAAAATAGGGAGAAAACTAGAATGCATCGTGACGGTAGGAAAGTTGAAGGGAAAAAATAGAGAGGGAGAAAACTAGAATGCATCGTGACGGTAGGAAAGTTGAAGGGAAAAAAATAGAGAGGGAGAAAACTAGAATGCATCGTGACGGTAGGAAAGTTGAAGGGAAAAAAAAAAGAGGGAAAAAACTAGAATGCATCATGACGGTAGGAAAGTTGAAGGGAAAAAATAGAGACGGAGAAGATGCTGGACAGTTTGACATCAGGGCACGGCAGATCGTCTACGTCAGAATTCATTGAAAGTACACGGAACAGAAGGTTGTGGTATGTATGACTGCCAATGCCACACGGCATGGACTAGAAAAAGAAGGTGTGATGTGACACATCACACCCAGCAGTAGTTTGCTTTTGGATTACCTTAAATTTTTTTTTTCAATTAGTGTTTACATATTCATTTATCAGTGGGGCATATTATTTACATATTTTGATTTTTGCTCACCAGGCCCGTCGTAAGGTATGTACACGAGTTTGTGCTTGTGTTTCTTCTTTGCAGGATTTCCTCTTCTTTCATCATTGCTCTAAATGATGTAATTGCCTTGTGCCTGTTCACAGGATAGTTGTGATATATAGACCGACAAAGTCTGACATCATTGGGCATGTGTCAACCGGGTTAGGTTAGCCTTTGCTTTGCAGGATTTTAACATTCTTATTTGTTCCGTTGTGTATTGTCATATCTTGGTGCAGTCAAGATCTTTCATGGTCATTAAAAATTATCGTTACAGGAGAATGGCTCTTGTACAGAATACAAACATACCTACAACTTCAACGACCCCTCGTCCCTGCCCTATGACCCTGAATTTGGTGGCCTGCCACTCCAGAATCACCAAGGGCCCCAGATGAACCCGGAAATGAACAGTCTTGGGGCAGGCAGCATGAGCCTGGCCAACAACATGAGCATGGGTAACTTCCGTGGACACATGAATATCCCGCCACCTATCAGTCACATATTGAACACGCTGCAGCAGCAGGCCCAGGAAACCAGGGATCCAGTTATCCAGAACCTGCAGGGGATGTTGACCAATGTGTTGGTAAGTCTGATCCCTGGTTGTTCATGTGATGTGTTGTCCAGTGCTTTTAGAGAGTGCTTGTTCATGTGATGTGTGGACCAGTGCTTTTAGAGATTGCTTGTTCATGTGATGTGTTGTCCACTGCTTTTAGAGAGTGCTTGTTCATAGGATGTGTTGTCCAGTGCTTTTAGAGAGTGCTTGTTCATAGGATGTGTTGTCCAGTGCTTTTAGAGAGTGCTTGTTCATAGGATGTGTTGTCCAGTGCTTTTAGAGAGTGCTTGTTCATAGGATATGTTGTCCAGTGCTTTTAGAGAGTGCTTGTTCATAGGATGTGTTGTCCAGTGCTTTTAGAGAGTGCTTGTTCATAGGATATGTTGTCCAGTGCTTTTAGAGAGTGCTTGTTCATAGGATGTGTTGTCCAGTGCTTTTAGAGAGTGCTTGTTCATAGGATATGTTGTCCAGTGCTTTTAGAGAGTGCTTGTTCATAGGATGTGTTGTCCAGTGCTTTTAGAGAGTGTGCATGTATTATTTTACTATTTTGACTTAGAAACCCTGTGGAGAAGAATTCCCAGAGCTTCCCCCAATTTATTTATGTATATTTTAAAAGATTTTATTATTAAGAGGAGTAACCAGTAAACATGAATGGAGTGGACTATTAAACGACTTCAGTCCCTTGGTCCTCACACACACAAATTCAAACAGTGATTCAAACAATGACTTTGATTACTGTAAAGGAGAGTTATAAGGTCATCATGGATTTAAAAAAAAAAACTTCTTTTTTTTTCCACATCAATAATCCACTTTCCTCCATATACTTATTTTAGTAAATATAATCATATCCGGCCCTGCTAAATACTGTGCAGGCACAAAGCAGAACAAATGCCTTAATTAGGCTTATAGGGGTCTGATCAGTGCAGAAATGCCGGTTGAGCAACTTCCCAGTTTATTTGCAATAATCTGTCAATAATAAATTAGTGACAACTGAGACCAAAGGGTTAACCTGATTTTTTAACTGGACAGTGTATCTTGAGGTGGCTAATATTTGTTTGTCTCCATTCCTTCTATTCTAGCTGCTACTTCCCTGAATATGATGATTCTACAGTTCTTGCAGCTTATTTTGTCTCTTTTGTTGCTTGTCTCTGTCTTTCCCATTTCCCCTACTCTTGTTGGTAATTTTCTTTCCACTTTCACCTTTTTTTTCTATTTCTACTCCCTCTTTTGTTTCCTTCTTTTTTCATCTGTTGTTACAGTGTTTGATTCTGTTACGGATGGAAGCTGACAGTTTTTTTTTTTTCTAAGGCAAAAAATAATTGTTGTCTGCACAATCATTTGTCTGTCTTGCCTTGGGAATTTAAAAAAAAATGTGACCTTAAGTTAGAACCTAAATCTATTTGTATTCACTCTTCTGTCTCTGTTTTTCTCTCTTTCTCTTCTCAACATGAACCTGAAAGAACACTCTCTTTCTCTCTCTCTCTCTTTTTCTTTTTTTCTGTGTTTTCTTTCTCTGATTAGCGTATGCTTGTATGGCTGAAAACATAACAACCTCTCTTTTGTTTCGTCAGAAATGTAAAATTTTTTTTCAATCTTTCTTTCAGCAAAACACAAATCCACAAGACAGTGGCATGCTGATGGAGAGGATACTGAATGCTCTGGAACCATTCAAGAACCAGATTCCAGGTCAGTTATTCATGCATCTGTCGGCCGTGAGTGAATCGGGTGAATGAAGTAGTTCCTCTGGATTATTAAGTTGTTTGTATTGATGGTGCATAATTATACAGTATGAGGGGGGCTTAGTGGTCTCAGGGCATGGCCTCCACCTCGAGTCAGCCAGAATTGGCCTGCAGGCCACAAGTTGAATGGCCCTGCTCTGTATTGTGCCATTCTATCATGTCATTCTATTTGTCAGTTTCTGTCAGTTCATCATCTGTCATGTCATTCTATTTATCAGTCTGTCAGTTCATCGTCTGTCATGTCATTCTATTTATCAGTCTCTGTTAAACCATCGTCTGTCATGTCATGCGCCATGCCATCTGTCATATCCTTCTTTATGTCATCCTCTGTTGTGTCATTCTCTATGTCATCTCCATCATAGACATAAATGTTTTGTGCTCACAGTGGCTTGCGTCATTTGATAAGAATCATATCAGGGTTTTTGCCCAGGACATTCATGTATGTATGGTAATGAGCAGGCTGATAGAATAGCTGCTGTTGTATCTCTGAGCGGTGAGCTACTTTATGATAAAGAGGATGTGATGAAGGCTGAATGGGAGCAAGTAAATAGTGCAGCAGATCAGACAAAGCCTCCATATCTGTAGATAATGATTCAGCTGGGAATGAGCACAAGGTCTGGATAACGGGGGGGGGGGGGGGGGGAGAAAAGACACTTTGAATCAAGTTGCAGCTGGCACCATCAGTATTGGAACTCTCCGTTGGCTACTGAGGAGGGGGATGGAGCACATATGGCAATGTCCTGAGTGTAGTGATGTCAGCTCTTCATTCATTCATTCTCTATGCCATCACCTGTCATGACATCTTCAGCTATGTCATTCCCTATGCCAAACTCTGTCATATAATCCTTAATGTCATGTTGTGCTTCAGGTCTGAGCAATCTCATCAACTCTGTGACTGGTGCTAACATGGAGCCCAACATGGGGGGCCCCCGCTTCATGATGCCCAATCAGATGGGGAACCCACGGCATGGACTCTTGGGGTCTGCCCCTCCAGGCTTCAACATGATGGCTGGCGGCAACATGAGGCCCGGCTTGCAAGGTGAGCTTTGTATACCATTTGTGTGTATGTGTGTGTGCTTCTCTCTGCCTCTGTCTAATGTATCTGTTTGTATGTGTGTGTGCTTCTCTCTGCCTCTGTATAATGTATCTGTTTGTATGTGTGTATGTGTGTGTGCTTCTCTCTGCCTCTGTCTAATGTATCTGTTTGTGTGCTTCTCTCTGCCTCTGTCTAATGTATCTGTTTGTATGTGTATGATCAACTTCTGTTGGTGTGTGTGTGTGTGTTTACATGTATGTGGGTGTGTACTTCTCTCTTTCTCTCTAATTTGTGTGTTGTCAGGTTCTTGTGTATATGTATTTGTGTGTGTGTGTGTGTGTATGATAAGCTTTTATTTGTGTGTGTGTGTATATGATAAGCTTCTAATTGTGTATGCGTGTATTATCAGCTTTTGAGTATGTATCAATTTCTGTTTGTGTGTGCGGTGAGCTTCTGTTTGTTTATGTATAGGATCAACATCTGTTGCGTGGGAACAAGAAAGATCAGCTCCATTTGTGTTGACATATTCTCCATTATTGCGTGATTATAATCTCCATATGTGTGTGAGTGTATGTGTCATCAACCTACCTGTGTGCATATGTTTAGCCACATTATATGGGTGCAGATATCTAGCCTGTAAATTTATCTAGGATCGGCCAGTGGTGCAGTCGTTAGCACCCTTGCCTGCCACCCTTATGGTCAATAGAAACTAAACTGGGGGGCACCAGTAGTATACATTTTCTTGGTAGTAAGGCAGGCCAGTGGGAAATTAACCACATCATACATCAAATGCTGATTGGTCAGTACAGATATATGGGGATGAATCTGTATACCCAATATTTCCCGTGAGTTCTGTGGCTCCATTGAAAGAGGGGGGGGGGGGGGAATAGACCCACTGCCTTCTACCAAGAATGTCATAAAAGGTGACGCATTAAGGATTTGCTGAAAATGGATTTGTTGGGCCGAAAGATACTGTGCCAACCAAGCTTTTAAAGGGTGAGGACACAAGAACAAGGATGAAGGTTCAAGTCAGGGATCAATTTCATTGCTCCTGGTTTTATCCCATATAATGGCAGAGCAGCTGTCTACTTGCCACTGACCAAGAACACCGTAGCTCCGGCGATGATCCCCATTGCACACACAAATAGAATGCTGCAGCTGTGAAACATACCCCAATAATTCAGAGCACATCTTGACCACTTCACCACTTCCTGCCCCCCCCCCCCCCCCCCCCCCCCCCCCCCCCCCCCCCCCCCCCCCCCCCCCCCCCCCTGAAGGAAAGCATTTCATGAGATGAATATTATCATATGTAATAAATCACTAATTAAACATTAGAAAACGAGTACTGAAATGTTATATTGAACCTGTTGTGTTGTGGGGCAGTGAATCTAGGAATTTAAGCAGACAAATTAAGAAGAGTTTGGAGGCAACTGAGATGTGGTTCTTGAGAAGAATGTTGTGAATACCTTGGACTGCCAGAATATCTAACAATGACTGCCTGGAAATGGCTAATGAAAGTAGAACATTATGTACAACAATGAGAAGGAAACACACGTTCAATGGTCATGTGATGAGACAAAGAGTACTGGAAAATATAGTGATGTTTGGGAAGATCACTGGTAGAAGAGGCAGAGGCAGACCAGGAGAAATGATGGTGGATTGCTTAAGACTGTGGCATGGAGGAATATCATCAGTGGAATTGATCCAGAACACCAAAGACTGACATCTGTGGAGATACATGAACACCCATGCCAGTTGGAAAGGCACCTGATGATGATGATTAAGGGCATTGAAAAGGATGTTTGTTGGTTACATAATGAGCTTATATTGTGTTGAGCATTATTTTAAGATGTGGTTTATTTCTTCTACCAGGTCCTGCTCCATTGATGGGAGGCAACAGTGGAAATTTGGGAGGAAACCCAAACTTCTTCATGGGAGGAGGGGGTGGTGGAGGCGGAGGCAACATGAGAATGGGTGGACCTCCTGGTCAGTGGAGAGGTGCAAACAGGTCAAGGCCGTTTGGAAAGAGAGGTAATGGAGTCGGGATTTTGGGAATACCCACATGTGATTTCTGCATGTAATTTTTTTGTGTGTGTGTAAACTCTGGTGGACAATTTTACAGATCTGGCATATTTGTGTACATACTGTTGGTTCCCCGGCTCTGAGGCAGATGCATTCAGACTTTAAAGAAAGCACTCCTTTTTGGGGGGGCATTTACAACATGCCTGTTGAGAAGGGGGGGGGGGGGGTGTATATTCTCTTTGTTGGCCAGGCCAGCCTTCCTGGCATTTGTTGGCCAGGTTAACCTTCCTGGCATTTGTTGGCCAGGTTAACCTTCCTGGCATTTGTTGGCCAGGTCAACCTTCCTGGCATTTGTTGGCCAGGTTAACCTTCCTGGCTTTTGTTGGCCAGGTTAACCTTCCTGGCTTTTGTTGGCCAGGTTAACCTTCCTGGCATTTGTTGGCCAGGTTAACCTTCCTGGCTTTTGTTGGCCAGGTCAACCTTCCTGGCATTTGTTGGCCAGGTTAACCTTCCTGGCATTTGTTGGCCAGGTTAACCTTCCTGGCATTTGTTGGCCAGGTTAACCTTCCTGGCATTTGTTGGCCAGGTTAACCTTCCTGGCATTTGTTGGCCAGGTTAACCTTCCTGGCTTTTGTTGGCCAGGTCAGCTTTTGATGTCGCTGACAAAAAGAATTCTGGCCTGTTCATTTTGATAAAGTACATTTAATGTTTGCAGATGTGTCATTAGTTTTGTAGCCATTCATTAGGCCTGATGTTTCTCATGGAAACACACCAGAACTAAAAACTAAGATAGGTTGAGGGTCGAGTGAAATAGGATTGCAGTACTTTAAATGGGAGGGCAACATCAAGGATATACAGGCAAGGAAGTATACAGGCAGTACTTTAAATGGGAGGGCAACATCAAGGATGTATGTGCAAGGCAGTACATTAAATGGGAGGGCAACATCAATGATGTACGGGCAAGGTAGTATACAGGCAGTACTTTAAATGGGAGGACCTAATGACAAGATGTCTCAAAAATGGGTGTACTGTCTTGGGGACAGAGTATTAGGATTACATTGTAGTCAACTCTCATTGTGTAAATGACAGCTCGTCCAATCTAAGGATAGATTTGTTCTTATAAGGAAGTAATCCTTCTGCCGCTCACTATTCAAGTATTGAATCCAGGCACTCACCATAACTTGGGGATATAATTAGAACGAGTAGGATATCTTGGATGCTAGCCGTGGAAGTCAGAACCTGCTAATGAGCATGCAACAGCTCACCTCCTGAATCAGCCAGTGCTTCTTCTTCTTCTTCTTCGTGGGGACCAGCTGTAAGGATTGGCATTGTTCTGGTTACTCGTCATACTGAAATGACAGTCCTGCTCCAGAACCTGAGTGTTACGTGTGCATCAGTTTTACATATCTCATTCTCTTACAGACTGTTGGGCTCCTATTCCTCTTGAATCAGGCAGATGCACTCCGACTTCAAAGAAAGCTCCCCAATGAGTCGACATCTTGGATGACATGCTTTGGGGAGGCAGAACCTATTCTTGTTTTCATGCACAATGGGGCCCCGGAACCCACACGGGGTCAGCCAGCGCTGAAAATGGAAGGTGCTAGAGCTTCACACCCATATCAGATCATCATGGATAAATAATTTTTTGAAAGGACATGTGAAGGGCTGTTGGGGTGAGTGGTGAAGCCTGGGCAGTGATTCTGGGTGGAACAACCACAGGTGCAGATCTTGGTGGTAGTAGCAAATATTCTGGTGAGACCTTTGAAGACTGAAGTAGAGACATGTTCTATGTGACCAGCAGTTGAATGAGGATCAGTTAATTCTAAGAGATAGTGAGAAATATGTCATAGTACTCCAAATATGTTGGAGATAAAGCACTTTTTTACTAC